CTGAGATTGGTGGTCAGGGAAGAGTCACGCCTGAGTAGAGACCTAAAGGAGCTGAGGGATGAAGTTATGTGGTATTTGGAAGAAGAAAGTTTTAAAAAAGAGGAAACAGCAAGTGCACAGGCCCTGCAGTAGAATCCTAACTAGCATCTATTAAAAATCAGCAAGGAAGCTAGGGTGGCTGGAGCAAGGTGTAATGGGAAATGGAAAGAAATGGTTCAGAGAGGTAATGGCAATGGGGTAGACATCTAACTTTGTTGGCCACAGTGAAGACTCTAGGTTTAACTCTGTGTGAGTGATAAGCCATTTCAGGGTTTCGAGCAGACAGATATCATTTGATCCACATTTTCATATGGCTGTTCCAGCAGCTGTATTGCAAATGGGTTGGGCCAGGGCAAATGTTGGAACCATGCAGAAGGCTATTTCAATCACCCTATCAAGAGACAGATAGCAGCTTGGACCTGGGGGAAAGCAGTGGAGTGGGGAGAAGTGGTCAGATTGCACAAAAGGGAAAAAGTGTGGAGACAACGATGTTCAAGAATGTTTTCTATAATCAAGAGAAACTAGAAAGAACCTCAATGTCCAGTAACAGAAGACAATATGACTAGTCAAAACAAAGCATATGCTACTATTGTTCTCCTTTTTAAAGGTTTTGGAGAGCAGGTATAGTCAAGGAAATTAAGAAAAAAGATGTTAGGCAAAGGGGTGATTTTTATTAAACTTTAAGATTGAGTTTCCTGTTCCAAAGTGTCTAAAATATGAAAAGGAATAAACTTTTGTCTAAGAAGTGAAAATGGGAAATGAATGTGTGATTTGGAATTTACATATTTGCCAGGAAAATATTTTGTGGAGGCTCAAAACTGGTAGATAAGAATTATCTCAATGTGGGGCTGGGGTTGTGGCTCAGTGGTAGTGTGCTTGCCTTGCATGCATGGGGGCATTGAATTTGATACTCAGTACCAGGTAAATAAATAAAATAAAGGTATTGTGTCCTACAACTAAAAATTTTTTTAAAAAAATTATCTCAATGATCATTTATTAATCATTCCCCATATGCCGGGCATTATTCTTGTGCTTTTATGTAGCTTCTAATTTTATAACATATAATCTAATTTCACAAACTTGCCCAAGGTGATTAACTAACATAAACCAAAGAGCTGAAACTCAAACCGGTGCTGTCTGATGCCAAAACCTACCCTGTGGTGTTAGGCTGGCTAGATTGATTTTTGAGGCTTTTCGTTGGGAAGAACAGTTCACCTCTTGGGAATGCATTGAATTGCATGTAACAAACCCAGACTATGAGTGCATTAAATAAGCAAGGAGGGTATTTTTCTCTTGTAATAAGAAGGCTGAAGCAAGACCTGTCCAGAGCGGGTGCCACTTCTTCTCTCTTGCGTGTTGCCCTATGGCCTAAGATTACTACTCCACCTGCAGCCTGAGAGCAGGAAACAGGAAAGTCAAAGGACCAATATTTGCATCAGTAAAGCAAAAGCCTTGCCAGGACTTCCTCCTATGTCTCATTGGTCAGAATCATGTCATGTGACCTCTGTTTCTACATCTCATTGGTCAGAGTCCTGTGACCACCTCAGTGATGACCTCTGGGAAGGTGAGTACTTTAGTTTGGTACACAATCTTCCTGGATGAAACCTAATTCACTTAGAAGTTAAGAGGGGAAGATTATCAAGGAGGCAGTTAGTAATGTTTATCCGATGAAGAAAGATTAATCTGACCAATTAGGGATGTGGCAAGAGGAGACGATGCCTCAAAGTGTTACTCAATGGTGGATTCCTAGGGGTTCTGGGGACCATTGTTGATAAATTTCATTGCAAGAGAAACAGAGAAATGAAGTCTTTGTTCCAAGAAGCCTTGAGCTCAGCTTCACTTCTGCTTGTTTATTTATTGAGTTGTAGATGGACACAATACCTTCATTTTATTCATTTATTTTTATGTGGTGCTGAGGATCAAACCCAGTACCTCACACATACTCCACCACTGAGCTACAATCGCAGCCTTTCACTTTTGTTTTTACAGGAAAGAATGAATAGTGGTGTGAGGATGGCCTTAGGACTGAGCCTAAGCAACTCCATTTTAAATACTCCAGTTTGAAACCTGCAGTCTCACCAGGCACCCACAGAGCCCTCCAGTGTGGCCTCATACAAGTTACTTCCCCTCACCCTGATAAACAGAGTGAAGCCCCTGGCAGGCTGTCCTCGCCTGATAAGAGGGAAAGGCGAAGAAAGATCAAGGTGGAGACCACTAGACCAGATGTTTCTGACCCCAGAGTAAATGTTGTCATGGAGAAATCCAGTGGTAGCTGATAAGAATTGAAAGGGGGGTCAAAAGCCCCAAAATTTAGTATAAATAATAGAGCTAATGAACAGGGATTCAGCCAGCCAAAACAAGGATGCACTTGAGCTGGAGAGCCTGATGAGGACCTGACATCCCATCACTTGTCATCGTTTCCTGAGCCTCTGCGTGATCCTCACTGCTCTCAAACTCTATCGCCTCATCTGGACCTTGGTAAGAGCCACAACTTCTCCCTATGATCCTTCCTTAACCGTCATACACTCCACGCCAGGAAAAGCCTGCCTTGGTTCCTGACCTGGTCACTGCAGTCTAAGTGAGTGTGCAACTGCTGGACATAAAGCCTAAGGATTAAGACTTTTGAACTTAGCATGCAGAGGGAATGTCTGTCATTAGCCTGTCATGATTAAGTGTGTTTTGCAGTGCTTAGAATTAATCTAGAATTGTTTGCTGTGAATTGATTGTCTACTGCAGTGCCTAGCATGAAGGATTGTCATTTTCTTGATTAAGAACCTATAGAGTGAAACTGTATTGAGTAATTTGAGTGAATAAAGCATTGAAAGGGGCAGGAGCACGTGTACATTCTTTATTTCTCCCCTCAATTGCATATGTTGCAATTTGCCCCCTCAAGACAAGTGGGAAGCAATGAATGGTCTTTGCCACAATCCCTCAACCCAGCCCCTTCCATGGGGTTCCCCTCGGGAGGTACCTGGTATGCATAGATGTCCCCAAGTGCACACCCTCCCTAGACTGAAGAAGTCTGAGGACAGTTGTTGACACAGGCTTTGGGAATGGAGGGAAAGCAGAGGGCACTTGGAAATAGTTGAGGATGCTGGGAGCATTTGAAGACAAATACAGCCTCCTGAATCCTCCTGGAGAAAGACACTGTAAATTCAGTCTAGCTCCTCAGAGTCACCCTGACCAGGTCCTGTCACTAGTAAGGCACCTCTCCTCCTGGACTTCATTTTCCCCTCCTGTAAAGGCAAATAATAATCCTATCTTGAAGTTTGGAGTGATGTACATCCAGCTCCTGTTTTATAGTATACATTCCACAGATGGTGGCTGTTATGTGTGTTAGGAGTATGATCTGACCCCCACACCCACCACTAATTCAGCTCCTATTCTCTCCCTGTCACTAGTACTGACAGCCCTTGCTATTCCTTTATGAGAACACACACTCTGTGGCTCTCTGCCTCTTTATTCCCCCCCCCCCCCCCGTGGATTTGGGCAGAAATACCTCAAATTCTGGTGAATCCTGTAGTACTTCTTGATTCACAGGATCTCACCCCTTCTCTAGGATATCCTTTCTGACCTCTTCAGATGAGTGAAGCCCCTCCTTAATGCCCCTAGCAGTCCATACTTCTTTCTGTCAGGGTTCTTACTGCTCCCTGGGGCCATTACTGAGTTCCTGACAAGGCCAGTCCAGGCTCTTTCCAGGGTTGAGATATCCAGGCTCCTCATTTAAGGCTCTGTTTGAAGATGAGCAGCAGCAGGAGGAAACTGTGCCATATTTTATATATTTCAACTGTCATATTTTATATGTGCCATATTTTATATTTTCAAATGACAAGTCATAGATGCTGTCTACAGCAAATCAGCACTGTAGACACACAAAAAGCAATGTAACATGTGTGTTATTTGCAGCTATTTAATTTAAAAATAAGAATTCATAGTATATCTGAAAGGAAAGTGACCACAAAACTCTGAGCGACCACTGCTTTATTGCAGCAGTGCAAAAGAAGAGAAAAAGAGAGCGAGAAAGAAAGAGAGAGAGCAAGAGAAGAAAGAGAGAGCAAAGGAGAGCGAAAGCAAGAGAGGGAGACAGAGAGCAAGAGAGGGGGGCCCGGCAGGAGGGAGTTTTTATAGCCAAAAATCTAATGGGGTCTCTGGGTCTGCAAGCTGTCTTGTTGATGTTCAATGATTGGATCACACAGTAGTTGCTAAGGCTGTAATCTTCTGCCTTCAGGCAGATGGGGCAGGGGTCAGATGTGGGTTTCTGTTGTACCACACTGGTGGGGGTCCAGTGTTCAGCCTTGAGTGGAGTTGAGTGTTCAGACTTGACGCAAACAGGTGATAAAGAACCAGACACAGGGGGGTTTCAGTGCGTGGGTTATCCTGCAGCTAACGTTTGTTCACCTTGTCCTGCACCTAACAATATCACTGAGAGTTGTTTTAGTGGCATGAAAGTCTTGGGTTCTGTCACCTGTGTGTAAGCTCCATCTGGAGACAACTGCCAAAAGTGTAAATTTGTGACTGTTAGCTAACTGAGAGTTTGTGATGGAGAGCTGCCCTGCCCGTGCTGCCTGCGGGGAACCTGGGGCACTCTTTAAGCTGGGGCTTCAAGGCCTAGCGCCAGGAAGTTTTTTTTTTTTTTTTTTAAATATTTTTTTAGTTGTAGATGGACACAATACCTTTTATTTTATTTATTTTTATGTGGTGCTAAGGATCAAACCCAGTGCCTCATGCCTGCTAGGCAAGCGCTGTACCCCTGAGCAAAAACCCCATCCCCAAGGAAAGGACTTCTTAATAAGCTCCCAGCAGCTCCCGCATCCCGCACACTGAGGGATGTCTCTCCGCCAGCCTCAGCCTCCGGCACCTCTCGCCACCCCACCGGCAGGGGGCGCCCCCCTCCACTCCGCAAACCCGGCTTGTCTCTCTTCAGAGCCTAGACGGGGCGCGGACGCCCGCCCTTCCGGGTCTGGAGCCAGCTGGGCGCGGTGGGATCTGGGGGCCTTGCTCCCTGCCCTCCCCTCCCCTCCCCGGAGTGCCCAGGGAGGGGCGGAGTGGGCGGGCGGGCACGCGGGCCCCGCCCCTACCTCGGGCAGTCACCTGGGGCCAGGCCCGGCAGGTGCCTGGGCTGCGACCTCGCCGCTTGTGGGCTGGGAGTCTGTAAGCCCGACGCCGACCTCGAGCTGCGAGCCGCGGGTGAGTGCGGGGGCGGGGAGGCGTCCCGAGGTCCCGGTGGGTCCCCTGCCCCAGTGCTGCGCTGCTTCCCCGGCGTCGGGAGGGGAGGGATTTCCCTTACAGGATTTGGAGGGCTGGGCTTTCTCTGCTACTTGAGGGACCCGGGAGTACGCCACCGAAGCGTGAGCCTTACAGGCTCGGGGTGGGACGCGATGGGTCTGTGGTGAGTTTGAGGGAGCCCGGGGAAGTGGCTTCTGAACGTTAGAAAACAGGTGAGGGCAGAGAAACGCGGGGGTGTGACTCCTGCCTCCTCCCGGGCACTCTCAGGTGATTGCGGGCCCGTACACAAGCGCGGGCGTTCGCTCGGGCAGACTTTGCGTGCCGGCTGCTGAGCGGGGCGTTGCGGCCGGCGTCCGCGCGCACGCCGGGCGCGGGGATTAAGCCTCCGCGCTTTGCAGTGCTGGCGGGTCTCCGAGAACAGAGCGCCTTGGCTGGTTCCTTGATGACCAGCCTTACTAGCCCAATGCCTTCTAGATAACCTGGGCCGGTCTTCGGGAACCCGGCGGCTGAAGCAACTTTTTCTCACCTGCGCAGGTGGTCTCGGGAGGTGGCAGCAAGCAGGGTCCCGCATTCGGGAGGCGGCTGCGCCCATCGGGCCTCAGAGGAAGGAAACACGCTTTCTTCGTCCCCCACTGTGCAAACGCTCCGGTAAGGCGGTTGGGTGTTGCTCAACTCCCAGACATAACTCGCACCATTGCAAAGGACATGTAAATGGTGGCTGTCGATATTGTTACGTTTCTTCAGGGGAAATGGGTTCTTGTGTGCTTTGTTTATAAATTTAGAGACAAATTTACATATGTATGATCAGCGTTTCTATGTGGTATCCCGGGAATAGAGTTATTAGAGTTATTGGGAATCACCTGGCTCCTGTGGGGTACCTGTGATTTGAAAACGATTTGAGAGACATAACACAGCGTTAAATCTTCTGAGCCTTTATTGTATCCTTATTAAATTGTTATGGTGAGATTATAATAAATCACCGAGTCTATCTTAAAGCAGAAGAGGGAGCCTTTACTCACTAGGCTGTGGGCCAAGAGGCAGGCTGCAAATCTACACCCTTCTACTCCCTCCTGGAGTTTGAGTACACCTATATAGTCCAAAACCACATTAATAATAAGTGGCTGCTGCTATCATTCAAAACCATAAACAAACGTCATGAGATCATAAGCAGAAGGGAAGTGGGTCAAAAAGACCCTAGTTAAGTCCAAGTTAAAGAATGGTTGCTAACACCTGGACAGTCAATCTCTGACAGGGTACATAGTCCAACAAAAATGGGAAGCAAAAAAGGAACAATTTTATATTGTATAAGAATTGCCATTTTGTGTTGGCAAACATGTTATGCTAAGCAACTATTGATAGGTACAGAGGCGGGGTGTTCCCATGGGAGAAGCATTCCTTACATGACATGGAGTCTCAGAGTAAAATGGAGTCTGTCTGGTCATTGCCCATGTAGCCTGGTCCATAACTAGATGAAAGAACCTTTTAAAACATTGAGATGTGGAAGAAATTTGTACTTGTTATTTGATGGGTTTTAGTTTTATTATTGGCATCATAATTATGGCTTTAAAAAATCTTTAACTTTTAGTTACTGAGTGAAGTTGAAATGTGGCTTGGGGATATGCCTTAAAATAATCCAATTTGGGAGAGCTTTAGCAGAGAAATGGGGGGAACGAGAGGAGTTGGTTATGAGTTGTTAATTGTTGAAGCTGGGTGATGGGTATGAAAATATGTTGAGCATTTTCCTTTAAAAGTTACAACATTATTACCTGCGGAGGTTTTATTTTTTTTGGTCGCTTGCTTTTTATTTTATTTATTTTTTGGCAGAAGATAGGTTTAGGTTTAGTACTAGAGGTCCTTTTAGATTCAAAGCCTTCCACACTTCCTTATTCTTTGTAAATTGGTTGTCATCACAAGCCTTCCTTTTCTCTCTCTTGGGGGTATGGATTTATTTTGCTCTAAAGGCACAGGGTGTTTGCTGAGAATGTCAAAGCTGAGTGGATGAGTTGATACAGGTGGATGCTGGGTCAGCTTTTTCTGCACAAAGGGTATCAGCATGCCTGGGGGTTGAGTTGCCTCCAGTCAGGCGGGTTGTATAAAATGTGTTAGCAGTTTTTGCCAGTTGCCCAAATCCCTTTCAAATTACACTCATCAAAAAGCAGAGGCCAGGGTATGAGGATGTAGCTTTGTGGTAGAGCACAGTCCTAGCATGCACAAGGCCCTGGGTTCTATCCCTAGCACCAAAACGAACAAAAAGTCCAGGTTAAAGTAGTGAACACACATGCATATACTTTTGGAACCATCATATAGGTTAAAAGATTTTTATTAAAAAAAAAAAGATGAGCAGAGATCTACTTATAACTTGAAAGAGATTTTTGTATTTTCTGTGCTGATTTTTTTCATATCTTTATGAGTTTGTATTAGGAATCATGACATGTAAATATTTAGCAAAGAACTGACTACTTAAAATTCTGCATGGTGTTCCATCATTCTTTTAGAGAACACTGCTTTGAGAGAGAATAGTGTCTGACTTATTTTTTCTCAGGATTTGTCTTATAATTTCTGCTCATTCTGTTATGTTGATCAGTAATTTGTAAACGTTTGGTTCTAAGAGGGAGCTATTGAAATGCAGTGGAGGGAAAAAGGGGAGGCATATTTCTGAAAGATAAACCCACATTTTTTAGTAGCTTCAGTGCAACTGAACTTAATGCCTCTTTGATTTAAAAAGAAAACAAGTCAAGTAAATGACATACGTGACAATTAAAAGTCAGAGTGTTAGATGAATCTCCTCAAGTCTAGACCTGGCACATATAGATTGAGTAGTCTAAAAGAAGATGTAGAGATGTTTTAAGATTCAATTGAGGGCTAGGCATGGTGTCATGTGCCAGTAATCTTAGCAGTTCTGGGGGCTGAGACAGGTTCAAGGCCAGCCTCAGCAACTTAGCCAGGGCCTAAGCAACTTAGTGAGACTCTAACATATTTAGAATGATGGTGGCCTGAGGCTTAGCGTCGACAGTCTTTACAATGTTGAGATATGTTCCTGTTATCCCTAGTTTTTCTAGTGTTTTGAACATAAAGGGGTGCTGTATTTTGTCAAATGCTTTTTCTGCGTCTATCGAGATGATCATGTGATTCATATCTTTAAGTCTATTGATGTGATGAATTACATTTATTGATTTCCGTATGTTGAACCAACCTTGCATCCCTGGGATGAATCCCACTTGATCATGGTGCACAATCTTTTTGATATGCTTTTGTATTCGATTTGCCAGAATTTTATTGAGGATTTTTGCATTTATGTTCATTAGAGATATTGGTCTGAAGTTTTCTTTCTTTGAAGTGTCTTTGTCTGGTTTTGGAATCAGGGTGATATTGTCCTCACAGAATGAGTTTGGAAGTACTCCCTCTTTTTCTATTTTCTGAAATAAATTGAAGAGTATTGGTATTAGTTATTCTTTAAAGGTCTTGTAGAACTTGGCAGTGAATCCGTCTGGTCCTGGGCTTTTCTTGGTTGGTAGTCTTTTGATGGTTTCTTCTATTTCCTCACTTGATATTGGTCTGTTTAAGTTGTGTATATCTTCCTGACTCAATCTGGGAAGATCATATGACTTAAGGAATTTATCAATGCCTTCACTGTCTTCTATTTTATTAGAGTATAAGGTTTCAAAATAATTTGTAATTATCTTCTGTATTTCTGTAGTATCTGTTGTGATATTGCCATTTTCATCACATATGCTGGTAATTTGAGTTCTCTCTCTCCTTCTCTTCGTTAGCATGGCTAAGGGTCTGTCAATTTTATTTATTTTTTTCAAAGAATCAACTTTTAGTTTTGTCGATTTTTTTCAGTTGTTTCTTTTGTTTCAATTTCATTGATTTCAGCTCTGATTTTAATTATTTCTTGCCTTCTACTGCTTTTGCTGTTGATTTGTTCTTCTTTTTCTAGGGCTTTGAGATGTAGTGTGAGGTCATTTATTTGTTGACTTTTTCTTCTTTTAAGGAATGAACTCCATGCAATGAATTTTCCTCTTAGTACTGCTTTCATAGTGTCCCAGAGATTTTATTATGTTGTATCTGTGTTCTCATTTACCTCTAAGAATTTTTTAATCTCCTCCTTGATGTCTTCTGTAACCCATTGTTCATTCAGTAGCATATTGTTCAGTCTCCATGTGATGCAGAATTTTTTATTCTTTATTTTGTCGTTGATTCCCAATTTCATTCCATTATGATCTGATAAAATGCATGGTAGTATCTCTACTCCTTAGTATTTGCTAAGAGTTGCCCTGTGGCATAGTATATGGTCTATTTTTGAGAAGGATCCATGTGCTGCTAAGAAGAAAGCATAACCACTTGATGCTGGTTAATATATTCTATCCATGTCAGTTAAGTCTAAGTTATTAATTGTGTTATTGAGCTCTCTAGTTTCTTTATTCAACATTTGTTTGGAAGATTTGTCCAGTGATGGGAGAGGTGTGTTAAAGTCAGCCAAGATTATTGTGTTTTGGTCAGTTTGACTCTTGAACTTGAGAAGAGTTTGTTTGATGAACATAGCTGCACCATTGTTTGGGGCATATATATTTATGATTGTTATGTCTTGTTGGTGTATGGTTCCCTTGAGCAGTATGTAATGTCCATCTTTATCCCTTTTGATTAACTTTGCCTTGAAGTCTATTTGATATGAGTATGGAGACTCCTACTTGCTTCCGCACTCCATGTGAGTGGTATGATTTTTCCCAACCTTTCACCTTCAATCTGTGTATGTCTTTTCCTATGAAATGAGTCTTTTGTAGGCAGCATATTGTTGGATCTTTTTTTTTAATCCAATCTGCTAGCCTATGTCTTGATTGGTGAGTTAAAGCCATTAACATTTAGGGTTACTATTGAGACATGGTTTGTATTTTCAGCCATATTTGTTTATTTTTGTTATTTAACTTGACTTGGTTTTCCTCTTTGATTAGTATTTCTTTTATTGTACTACCTCCCTCTGCTGGTTTTCATTGTTGTTTTTCATTTCCTCTTCATGAAATATTTTGCCAAGGATGTTTTGTAGTGCCAGTTTTCTAGCTGTAAATTCTTTTAACTTTTGTTTATAGTGGAAGGTTTTTATTTCATCTTCAAATCTGAAGCTTAGTTTTGCTGGATACAAGATTCTTGGTTGGAACCCATTATCTTTCAGTTTGAAATATGTTGTTTGAAATATGTTGTTCTTCTAGCTTTCAGGGTCTGTGTTGAAAAATCTGCCATTTTTCTAATTGTTTTACCCCTGATTTTAATCTGATTCCTTTCTCTTGTGGCTTTTAAAATTCTCTCCTTATTCTGTATGTTGGGCATTTTCATTATAACGTGTCTTGGTGTGGATCTGTTGTGATTTTGCACATTTGGCGTCCTGTAGGCTTCTTGGATTTGGATTTCCATTTCATTCTTCATGTCTGGAAAGTTTTCTGATATTATTCCATTGAACAGATTGCTCATTCCTTTGGTTTGGACCTCTGTGCCTTCCTCTATCCCAATAACTCTTAAATTTGGTCTTTTTATCCTATCCCATATTTCTTGTATGTTCTGCTCCTGTTTTCTTATCATTTTCGCTGTGCTATCTATGTTCTTCTCAAGATGATATACTTTGTCTTCGTTGTCTGATGTCCTATCTTTTAAGT